TCAATATAGATTTAAAATCCCATAGGCCAGGAGAGGAATGATTGAAGGGAAAGCAAAGAGGCCTTTGATCCTAGTGGATCACAAAGTTCTGTGTGCCCCCCAAGGCAGGGGCATGTCACAGAAACCCTGTGAGCTGAGAAGACCTTGTGTTTGAGGAGCAGGTCGATGTTACAGGACCTCTGCAGAGAAGTGTCTGGAGGCCAAACACGAGCAGGACCCTTCCAGGGGATTTTGACATATATAGATGACAATGGTGAGGACATCCTGGAGCTGTGTCCCAGGGCCTGAGCCCCGTGTGACCCTGCCCTGGGAGTAGAAGTGAATAGAGAAACTCTGAACCTCCTGAGGTTGGTCCCACCACTGAGGAAAAGATGGTTCACAAGTTCACTGATAGAAAAAAAAAAAATATATATATATATATATATTTATCTGGTCTTGACCATCTAAGTTTGTGGCCTGAAGTTTATATACACAAAACACTAAGCTCCCTTTCCTCCCCCTCACACCCAAGCAGAACATGTCCTGAGGACTCGAGAGAAGAACTTGAGCTTGGATCCCTTCCTTGTCTTCTGTAAGGATCCATTTCCTGTGAAGGTCTTAATCACAGGTCCAGGGTGGTAGGATATTGACATCTTTTTTAGAGGACACAACTGATCTCTTAACAGGAACAAAGTTGAGGCAGGGAGTAGGAGAGGGCAGGCTCTAAGCCTCACACTCAGGTGATGGAGGAAAGGGGTATAGCCCTTTCCCAGGACTGCATCCTAGATCCTGCTGTCCCACAGAGCCCAGGCAGCACAGTCCCTGAAGGAAGATAACAGCGGGAATTCTCTCAAGGTTGTCCCATTTCTGAGGCCAGGAGGAATACGATGAAGATGAAAATGACTTTTGTGCTGTTTTGGGGATCCGTGCTTTGCTTGATATTGTTTCTGGGAGGACAAAGGGAGGAGAATTCCAGCTAGAAGAGGAGAGAAGCTAAGTGACAGGGTTGCAGACTGAGGATGCTTTGCCAACATCCTGGTGATACAGGGAGGATGGGGCCAGGAGGAGATGTATAGGCAGCAACGTAACAACCCAGAGAGCCAGGAGTTTGGAGGGGGCAGAGCGTATGTGATGGGGGATGCCCTGGAGCTTGCAATTAGGAAAGTCACCTGCCTTCTCTAATCCAAGGTGACTCTGAGAAGCTTGGGGGGACTTGGAGGAGTCGGGTCCTATGCTAGGGGACTTCTTTCTTTAGCATTGTATAATGAAGCTTTGATGGGTCCCTCAAGGGGCCCCTTTGAGTGAACCTCTCCAGGAGCCTGCTGGGGCTCCAGTCCAGGGCAGCATGGTGGGCCTTCTGGCATTCTTGCCAAGACAGCCTGTTTCAACCCTGAGCCACCCAGCAGGCATGAAGCAGTTCAAGATTTTTTTTTTTTTAAGAGAGAGAGAGAGAGAGAATCTTTTTTTTTTTCTAGATGGACACAACACAATGCCTTTATTTTTTTTTTATGTGGTGCTGAGAATTGAACCCGGGTCCCACCTGTCCTAGGTGAGCGCTCTACCGTTGAGCCACAATTCCAGCCCAGTTCAAGCATTTTTTTAGGTGACTGTCCCTTTAGGAGCAAGTGGGCATTTTATTTGCTTCAGCGTATCCTTAAAATACTGTGGCCCATGATTATGGGCTATATGGAATCTTTGTAGAGTTGGTCTAAATTACAGAGTCTTGGAAAACACCCAGACTTCCTTTGACTCAACAGCATACAGTTGTCTTTATATTCATTCAACAAATGAATATACTTATTGAGTGGTTATGCCAGAAACAGGTTCAGATTCTGGGGCAACAGCCATGGACAAACAAAATCCCTGCCCCTGTAGAGCTTACATATTATGCTGGTAGAATGAAAAAAACTGATTGAGACTTGAGTGTTTTAACTTGTCGAATGCTAAGAAGAGCCACAGATTCTCCCCCCAAACAGGGAACAAGTATAGAGAATGCTGCATGTAGATGGAGGGGTTTTCAATATAGAAAGGGAGGGGGGGTCCTTGGAGGCCTCGCTGATCAGAGGACATTGTTGTAAACATAAGAGGGAAGAAATGAGCCACGTAGGTGGATTTCTGGGGTAAGAGAGACCAAGCTGCAATATGGCCAGGGTGAAGGCCCCGGACTGGGATGTTCTGATGAGTTTGAAGTTAGTACCACTAGAGAAGAGTGGATGAAAGCTATGTGCCTCAGGATGGTGACAATGAACACTGAGTTTTCTGAAAACTCCTCGTGTGTCATTTCTAAAATGTGGGGTAACAGTAGAATACCATGTTCCTGAATGGTTCCTCCAGACCTAGCCAAATTAAAGGAAGCATGAGAGCAAACCTGGGCTAGAAATCCAGATACTTATTATCTTGAAGGACACTGGCTTCCTCTCATGAATACTGAGAACTAGGGCAAGTTAGCATTATCTGTAGAAAGCTACTTTCTTGCATGTATGCCAGGATGGTTGCTCCTTGGTGTGCTGGTCACGTAAGCAAATTAAGCAAGTTAATGCTGATGTCTCTGCTTCTGAAGCCCTAGGTATAAAACCTGCTCTGAGTGGGGACAATGCAGAACTAAGAGCACTGAGGAAAGAATACATGTCACACACGTCCAGCTGCTCACCACTGGACAAAATGCTGTGAGGGAGTGTAGGCAGTGCTTGGCGAAGCCCCTTCAGGGATGGAGGTGCTATCTGTTTCAGCCCACTGCCATTGAACTCTTCTTGGAACTGTCACTGATCTCTTGTAAGCTTGTTCCCAATAAATCATATGTCTCTCAAGCCATTTCCTGGCACTTTCTTTGGCTTCTCTGCAACCCACTCCATTGCCCTGGTGCAACTGGGCAATGGATGTGACACCGACCTTGAAACCTTTTTATTTGCCATCTCATTAACCTCAAAATGTCCCAGAAATTCTGCATCTTCCAGCGTGCCTGCCTCTTGGAATTGAAAGTCATCCAACCTCTGTCCCCCATCCCAATGTACTCTGATTTGGGATTTAAAAGATGGGGTCTGACCATTAATCCCTAAGTGCTGTCCACTGGGGCACTGTGATGGGCTATTGAGAGAACAACATATAACCCACAAGTCCACCTCAGACTTTATGAATGACTGTAGGAAAAATACACAAGTATACATAGGTGAGCACGTGCACATATGCACACATGAGCACTCACGAAGGTGTGCGCACACATACACCTAAAGAAGCAACTGAGTCAAAAGGAAAAAATGTGGGTTTTTTTCCCCATGGAATTTTTGAGCTCACATTCTAAGATCCAAATCAAAACAAGAAACAATGAGCAAGTTCATTGCAAGAATTCCCCTATGTAAGTTTTGCCTACTTCACTCCTAGAGCCACCAGAAGAATGCAGCTCCCATTGATGGTCAGCTACCCTTCCTGTTGGAGTCAGAAGCCCAAAAACTCTGTATGTGCAGGATTCTGTCTCTCATCAATATCACACCCTCAGTGAGCTCAGGTCTCTGGGTTTCAAGCACCACCTATGTGCTTCCGCAGCCAGAGCAGAGACCTCTCCCTGAACATCAGCTGCCATATATCCCACGGCCTACACTTTATCTCCTTTTGGGTCTCTAAAACATCTCCAGTGTCACATGTAGCCATTGATTTCACCCCTTTTACCTGCTCTTCACCTTCCTCATCTTGGTTGATGGCAAGTCTATTCTTCCCACTTCTCTGATCCCAAACTTGAACCTTTCCTTGCCTCTTCTTTCTCTCACACCACATATCAATTCATCAGCAAATCCTATCAATTCTTTCTTGAAATATGTCTGTAAGCTGCCCACTTCTCACTACCCTCCACTGATGCCACTTTGGTCAAAGCCAATAACATCTTGACAGAACCTGGGAGAAGTTGGTCTTCTGCTTCTGCCCTTCGCTCCCCACTGGCTGATTCTCAACCTAGCATACAGAGCGATCCAGTTAAAGCCCAAGTCAGGTTGTTTCTCTCCTCAGCTCAAATTCTGCAAAGGTTCCCATCTCACTTGGATGGAAAGCCGAGATAATCTTCAGTGCTCTCCAAGGGATGGATGTCCTGCAAGATTCTCCACCCTCACCTCCCTCACTCCATCTCCCATCATGCTCCACCCTGCCTGCTCTGCTCCAGCCCTTTGCTGTTCCTCAAACCAGGCACACTCTCGCCTCAGAAACTTCACATTTGTTATTCTGTGCCTAACACACTCATCCCCAGGTAGCTGTATAACCCTCTCCCCTACACAAAGGCTCAGTCTCCCGTGAACCCTTTCCTTACCATTCAAGGTTATTTTCAACCCCCATCTGTGCTTAATGTTTTCTCTGTAGCCCTTGTCACCATCTGACTCACTGTATATTTTAATTAATCATCTCTTTGTCTCCACTATTAGCATGTAAGCTCCATGAGACACACACTGTTTTGACTGTTTTATTCATTGCTATAATCCCAGTTCCCAGAAGAGTTTGGCACACAGTAGGTGCTGGGTGCGGGTTAAAGGGAGTTTTGCAGTTGAAGGAGTGTGCCACACCTGCTCCAGCATGCCCTCCCCAGTGGCTGGAGCACAGTGCTATTGTGGGAACAGGAGGGGCTTACATGCTGCCATCCCCTTGTTTTCAGGAGAGCAGGGGATGGGGTTCCTGGGAAGGGAAGGAGAGTCCAGTCCAGCCTGGCAGATCACCTGTGGGAGGCTGAGGACGCAAATATCCAGGCAACTCCTCCCCTCTATGTCACAAGTGCAGCCTTTCTGCACCAGGAGGGAATACTCTTTCCTACTCCTTTGGGTGGGGAAAGAATTCTTCCTATGAATGAGATTCAAATCGGAACTCTTGGGACATTCCTGTTTTGATTTGGTTCTAGCAGTGACGCCTTCGGGTTGTGCAAAGCCTGGGAACATTGAGGGCATTAGGACCACGAGCGAGACGCTCGCTTGGCTCTGGGCTGTGTCTGGCAGAGGGCTCTCCGCTGAGCAGAGCTATGTGTGAAAGGAAATCAGGCACTGCCTGCCGGCTTTACATCTGTTGATCTGACCTGACTTGAAGCGTCCAAAGAGGGACGGCTGTCAGCTCTGCTGCACTGAAAACCCACCAGCTCACCCCAGACATCTCAGAGCAGCCTGACCATTCATGCAAAGGGGGAAAGAAACACATGGGACTAAACACCTGAGCAGAATGGATTCATTTTTTTTCCCCAAGGAGAAAAACAGGGTAAAAGGGGAGCAAGCAATTCAGTTTAAAGTCCTTGTGAATGGGCTCTCCGAAGGCAATTAAAGAAAGCCACGCAGAGGACCTGGGGTGAAACTGGGGTCCTGTGGACTTTCTGATAAGTGGAAGCAGGTTTTACACATGCTGTTGGCAAATGTCAGATGGGAAAAAAGGAGCAGGTTAAGTAACTGGCAAAAGAAACTTCCAGGTGGAATGAGCAACCAGGTCCTGCTGCAAGCTTGAAGGAACCTGGAGCCGGATGAGAAAGCAAACTTGAACATGACCTGTTGCATCTGGCAAGTTGTAGCAACATGCTCCTAAAGAAGCGGTACAGGCATGGACCGTGCAGACTTCAGTTCCTCCTGCTGTTCCTGATGCTGGGATGCATCCTGATGATGGTGGCCATGTTGCATCCTCCCCTGCACACTGGGCAACAGGCTGTCACAGCCCAGGCCAACAAGCACACCCCTGAAAGCCGGTACCACCTGGACTTTGGGGAATCTCAGGAGTGGGTCCTGGAGGCTGAGGATGAGGGTGAGGAGTACGACCTCCTGGAGGGCCTGCCGCCCTTTATCTCGCTGCGGGAAGATCAGCTGCTAGTGGCTGTGGCTTCACCCAGGGCCAGAAGGAATCAGAGCCAGGGCAGGAGAGGTGGCAGCTACCGGCTCATCAAGCATCTGAGCAAGAGGCCGGATGAGGAAGCCCCAGAGAGGGACTGGGGGGCCGAGGAGGAGGATGGGGAGGTATCAGAAGAAAAGGAGATGACCCCACTCAGCCTGGACTCGCATGGCCTCAACGAGGCGCTCAGTGCCCGCCTGCCCCTTCACAGGGCCCTGCCCGAGGTGCGGCACCCGCTGTAAGTAAGGCCCTAGCTTTCCCTTCTCTAGTGTGGCGGGATCAGGCGGCAGCAGAGTGCAGGATGCTAAGCCTCCTCTGTTGCTAGGGCAGCACTTCTCAAGGTGTGGTCCCTGGGGCAGCATCAGCCTTGCTGATGAGGCACTTGTTAGAAATGCTGATTCTCAGATCCTATCTCAGACCCCAGGGGGTGGGGGTGGGGTCCAGTGATCTGTATCTAACAAGACCTCCGGGTGAGAGCCACTATCCCGGGAGAACAGAAAGTGAGAAGTTCTTGCTTGTTCATTCTCTTCCCTGCCCTAGGCTCTTGTCCTGTCTTTAGATCCTCAGGTCACACAGCTTTATCTGTGTAACACACAAAGAAGGTTAGAGCAGATGTTCTCCATGCACTGTCCAGTTCTAATGCTCCAACTCCATTACATTTTTACATGAAGCTTATTGTTAGTGTTTGCTTTTATTTTGGATCAGAATAATAATTGCTTTTTAACATTTATGTGGCTCTTGCCATGTGCCTGGTTTTAATTTAAGAGCTTTCCATGTTCTAACTCATGAAGTTCTATGAAGTCCCTTACCACTCTGGAGGATGGGTGCTAGTATTAGCATCCTGTTATTTTTATAGGAATGAAAAATAAGGCATGGAGAGACCAAGTGGCTTTCCCACAGTCACAACTAGTACATGCCAAAGCAGGAACTTGAATTCCGGCATTTAAGCTTCAGACTGCCTAAACCACCACTCTGCCACCCTCCTTAATGTGCTAGACCAAGGGACTACTTCCGGTGCTCTGGAGCTAGACTACTGTGCTGACTGCAGCTTAGCCTGCCCCAGCCCCGGGAGGCAAGCTGAGAAGTGTGCATGACATGCAGATCTGTGCCCAGGGAGATGGTAGGCTCATGCTTTACACCCTGGCCCTCCCTTACCATGGCTGGCCAAGGGGAAGGGGGTGGGGCACTGCTTACCAGCCTCCAGGAGCAATGCAGCTGGTTCGTTTGGGTGATCAAAGTCCCTTCCCTAGAAGTCATGGCTCTTCCCAGAGCTCAGAGGGTTTCCTGGAAAGCAAACATATCCTGTAACCCCTTGAAGCAAGAGGATATGTGTAGAGCAGCAGCTGGAAGCAGTGCATATGCTCCTCCGATCCCTGATTGGTCCCTCTCAGGCTTGCTGCTCTGCCACTCAGGCTCAGGGGCATGCAAATGCAGGGTCAGCACCTGGGTGTGAGCACCTCCTTAAATTGTGTACTCTGGTGCCTCATCACCTCACCCAGGTCTTCCCATCCCTGTTGCTCTGACCACAGGCCTTGGCTTATAAAGCACTTTTCAGGAAACTCCCACCCCATTCCAGTTTTGTGCTCTCAGCACCCTGGAGTTTAGTACTTAGTACAACTGAAGCTAAATGGTCATTGATGTATTTATTTGTTCAATGCCTGCTTCCCCTGCCATGCTGTGAGCTCCAGAGAAGGTTAGCACTGAATTTGTATTGTATATCCCAGCATGAAGTAAAGAAATAATTGCTGAATAAAGGAACAGTTTTCAATTTTTTTGATGCATTTTCCCATTGACTACAGCAGGAAGAATATCCTCATTTTGCAAATAAGAAACATTACCTCAAACAAGAGACTTTGGCTACCAAAGGAGTGTGCATGTATGCTATGCATGTGTGTGTTTGTGTTTGTGGATGTACTGCATATTGTATGTACATTGTGTTGTGTATATATTAAATAGAAATGCATGTATGTTGTGTGTAGTGTATGTGAATTGTGTATTGTGTGATTCCTGTGTGCTTGGTGTATATCATGTATGTGGTACGATGTGCACTTATTAGAGCTGTGCGGTGTGTTGTCATATGTGCGTGCATGTTGTGTATGTGCTGTGTCCATAGTAACAACATACATGCACTGTGTCCATGTGTGTTTGATGTGGTGCTTGTCTTGCATATGATGTATGTGTGCAGGCGTATCATGTTGTGACCATGTTGCATGGGTATGACATGCTTGTGTGTGTACTGGGTGAGTGTGTATATTGCATGTGTTACACGTTATAAATGCATTTTGTGAGTGCATCAGGAGCTAGACTACTGTGCTGACTGCAGCTTAGCCTGCCCCAACTCCAGGAGGCAAGTTGGGAAGTGGGCATAACATGCAGATTTGTGCCCAGGGAGATGGTATGCATGAGTAACACACACACAAACTTGCACAAATACGTATTTGTGCAACTTTGTATGTGTATTACTCATGCATCCTGAAGAAAATGAATGTACTGTATGTACATGGTACACAGTGGGTGAATTTTGTGGCTTGTGCACTGTGCACAGGTATGCATATTTTGCATGGATGTAATATGTGTGTATATTGTGCATGTTATGCATTTGGTGTAATGAGCATATGTATTGTGCCTATGTGCATATGCACACATTGTGATGTAATGTTTTGCATGTGAATATGGTACATGTGTGCAAATGTATTTGTTTTGACTGCGTTGCACATTTGTATTGTGTGAGAGTGTTGCACATGTGTTATAAAAGAGCTGTGCAAGCCAGCACGGTGGTGCATGCCTGTAATCCCAGCGGCCCGGGAGGCTGAGGCAGGAGGATTGCAAATTCAAAGCCAACCTCAGCAACTAAGTGAGGCCCTAGCAACTCAGTGAGACCCTGTCTCTAAATTAAATATAAAATGGGGCTGGGAATGTGGCTCAGTGGTTGAGTGTCCCTGAGTTCGATCCCTGGTACCCGCCCCCCCCAGAAAAAGATCAACAATGCTACATGTTATGCCTGTGCTGTGATGCACATGAGTGTGGGATAGGTAGGTGTGTAAGCATGTGGTACAAGTGGGTACATTTTGTGCCAGGTGTGTTTGGGGTGAGCATGTATATGTGTGCATATGTGTGTGCACCACTTTGGAGGCTACTTCTTTCATCCAGAGTAACCCACTGGTTTTAGTTTTCCTGGGACTGTCCCCATATGAGCATTGAAAAATCCTTGGCAGTGGGGAAACCCCTCAACTTCAGGCTAAGCAAGACAGTTGGTCTCTCCACCCCAGCTTGCCAGGCCTCCCACAGCCACCACTCTGTGTGGAGGTGTGCATCGCCCTCTGCTGGCCTCCACCGCTATGTGCAGACAGGTCTCGCCCCCAAGACTCCTCTATTTCCATTCCGCAGGTCACACCGCGACACTCATTGATAGGACAGTTCCTGCGAAGCTAGGCAACAACGCCCACCCTCCCTCCTGCGCTCTCCTCCTCCCACCGCTCTCCTAGACTCTTAAAACCGGGTCTAAATACAAGACATGAAAGAAATAGCCAAGCATTACGCGTCTACTGTATGCGGACCCTGCACCACCGCTTTTCCGGCTTTCCCACCAGGGGTGGGAGAGAGAACAGGTTCGGGGTCGCTGCCTCCTGCGCAGTGTATTCGGTGCCTGCCCCAGAGCTTCTTGCAAGCCCATCCAAACTCCTTATCCAGACACGCATCTCTGGCCTCAATTCTTTCAAAAGAACCCCCACACCCGCCCTGGCCTTTGTCCAGCCCCCTGTCTGGGCCCCAGGCCTTCTCTCTGAGTACCCCTGGAGTTCAGTTTGAATAGGGGACTTTCAAAGAAAGTTAACAATAATGCAAAGACCAAAAAAAGAAAACAAATCAATATAAAAGCCATCCAAAGACTGCCTCAGGCAAGAGGTAAAATTATAGTGAATATTTATTGAGCACTTACCATGTACTAGAGACTCTGCCAAGAGGTTTTCATTTATTTAATCTGCATAGCAAACCCATGAAGTAGGTTTCATTTAGTGAATGAAAAAACTGAGGCACTGAAAGGTGGAGAGACCAAGTCATCTCACCAGGCGTTTCTGACACCAAAGTCAAACTCAATCACCATGCTAGACTTTCTAAGTCTGCCACTTCCCAGGCCAGGGATTGGGCAAGTCACATGGGATGGAAACATTTCTATAGTTTTTCTATCTTGAAGTGGGGGAAATGCAGACAGGTCCCTGGGGAGATATGTAGGAGGAGGCTAGCTCAGCGTCCTTGGTGGTCCTGAGGATTTGAGGCCACCTTGTGTCTCACCACAGGGCACCAGAGGAGCTGTATCCCATGAAATACTGAGTCCCAGCTAGACACAGACTCACCTTTTGCTCACAGTGAAGGGAGACCTTGAAAATCCTCTGCAAGAGGAAGAAGTGAAATTTATAGCATGGTATCCATAAGGGTGGTGTAAATCCACTCTAACTTCTTCACAAGACAGCCCATACTCACAGGGATGCTCAGGGAGGGCATACAACTGAATCAGAAAACACAGATGAACTAAAGAGAAGGGCCGAGGATGGAGTCACAAACTGAGGCATAGGATTATCTCAGCCCTGCTAAGCTGCTGTCAACAAGGGGTTGGGGAAAAACAAGTCTAGCCACTTAGCCTTATGCAGCACTGGTTGTTTTCAAAGTTGTCCTTTGATCATCCTGGATCCCATGTAGGTCAATGGATTCCTAGGATCCAAGAGGCTCCACATGAGCAAGTGTTTCATACCTCAACATCCAGGGAAGCAGCTCTCCAACTTGAGTGCGCATCCAAGCATCCAGAGGACTTGTTAATAGACAGATTCCTGGCCTCCACCCTACCCGCTTCGCATTCTGTAGGTCTATGTTGGGGCTCAAGCATTGGCATTTCTACAAGCTCCCAGATCCTGCTTCTGCTGATCTGAAATTAGTTTGAGAACCACTGCTCTGAGACACAGAGTAGGGCTTCTCAAACTTTAGCAGGTCTGCCAATTACCTGGGCAGCTTGTGAAAAAGCAGAGTCTGATTCCATAGGTCAGGGCAGCAGCCCAAGGGGCTAAGCTCCCACAGACAACACTTTATAACAGCAATGGGCTACACCACTGATTTCCAAAATATGAACTGATTCTTCTGGATGCATATTAAAAACATAGCCTTTCAGCCCCTACTGGCTTTCCATAGTTCTGAGTCAGATACCAGTAATCTGAATTTTTAAAGATGGATGCTAGACAGATCAGGGAA